TCCTGGAGCGCCACTGTCGGAATTAACTTCAGAGCTGTAGTTTGTTTCTAAAGGAAATATCTCTGCCAAAGAAGTTTCCAGATTGTTGCTTGGAGCTCCTGGAGAAAACTGTTGCTTTTGATCTGCTTCTTTCAGGATTAGCTGACATAGAAATTCAAAAAACTGTTTTCCACGCATTTCCACCTTATAAGGAAAGAAAGAAAATGTGAAATAAAGGGACATTAATGATCTCCTGAAAACATAAATATGACATAACCACCTGCTTTTCTAATGGGTCAATGTAAGGACACCTAAGTAGATGAATCTCAATCTATATTTCCGATCATTCAATCGGGGCTTTCACAGGTACAAGAAAGTGTCTATCACATTTCTGGAGGCAAACCAGGGATACAGATGAGTAGGATATTGTTCTAATTCCTGATTTCAGAGCACTAGGTTAAGGAAATCTACAAGTGAACAGAAAGCCATAAAACAGTGCTCACCAAGAAACTATGTGGCACTTCAGTTCAGCTGGAACAACAAATTTTTCTCTTACTAAGGTAATAGAGTTTATCAGAAAATTACAAAGATAAAGAATAGAGGGAAAATTAACAATAACACAATTCAAAGATGATGACTTATTAGAAGCGTGAGCACTTGAGGATGTCACTCAAGAGCTGCTGGGCAGCAGTGGCCAGAGTTCATGTCCAGAATGACCTGAGCCTTGAGTGATTTGCTTATTCCCCCTGAACACCACTGCTGCTCGCTACTGCTTCACAAACAATTTTTTCTTAGATGTGCCATAAAAGAATAGGTCTCCTTAAATTTATGATCAGTAATGGCTGCTAACTTAGCAGCAAATGAGAAAGAGAAGATGCCTTAAAAAGGAAAAAAGAAATAGAGTTGTGTTATAAACAAAGCAACTTTCGAATTGCTTGGCTATAATTCACAAATGTCTAATTTACAAGTGAGTCAGATTCAGCCATTCTGACAATGTTAAGTCCCCCAACTTGGCAACTCGGGTCAGTGGTACGTACATACCTGGTCTAACGTCTCTCCTCCGGGAGGTGTAAAGAAAGGGCATTCTTCCCCAGCTTCTTTGGCCATGTTCCTCAGGTCACTTAGAGGCTTGCCTTCTGCAGCCCCATATTTCTGTCATGGTCCAACAGACAAAGGTGCCTCAGGTGAATTTGCAAGACAACAATTCAGTTCAGACTTTTGGCCAATTGAGATGGCTCCATGAATAAGCTTAGTTTCCTATATTATTTTAGTATCCTCTCTCTTCCTGATAACAGGAATGTATCATAGGAGGCCATGAAGCCTTAGAAAATACAACCGAAACCTGAGTGGTACACTATGTCTAAAGAGGGTTGTATGGAAGAAGTCACTGAAGCTAAGTAGACGGCGGGGCTTCACTGAATAAATACAAGGTCAGGCTCAGACTCCTGGGCTACAGAACACATGCAAGGCACCATGCTGGCCACCTCCCATCCACACACTCTCACTTGGTCTTAATAAGAGAATTCTGAAGCGGGTATAAAAGTATTCCTCCACATTTATAAGGGAGGAAGCCGAGTTTCGAGGAGGTTAAGCAAATAGCCTCACTTTCATAGACAACAGCAAAGTTAAAATCCAAGTCCAGATTGCTAGCTTCCTAGGCGCATGAAGACTGAGCCCAAGCACAGGACATGCAAGTCACAAATGAAATCAAAGGGCCAAGAAACATGGGGAAACTACCTCATTAGGAATCCCAAGAATGTAAAAATTAAATGGCACCATTTTTCAGCTATTGCATTGTAAAATTAAAGAAACTGACAACATCAAGTGTGGCTTGGAAATATTTTCTCCTAGACCACTCATGGGAATATAAGTTGGTGTGGCTTTTTTGAAACGCCATTTAAATTAGGCAATTTAGAGTTAATATAAGAAAAAGTACACACTCAGCAATGTCCATTTCTAGAAGTATGTTAGATGGGTGTACCAAGAATGAACTGCAAAAATATTTATTTTAACATTATTTACATCAGCAGAAAATCTAGTCACAACCTGGATGCTAATTAGTAGTTGCTGGGTTATATAAATTACATAATATCCATTAAGTCACTAATTAGGTGATTATATCAAGGTGCATTTACAGGCACTGAAAAGCAGTCAGTACACAATAAATGAGAAATGCTAGTTTAAAAGTAATACAAAGAATTCCATTTAGAAAAATGCACAAGCAAGGGGAAAAAAATCAGGAATACACATACCAAAAATGTTCACTGTTTATCTGGGGGTGATATAGATTTTAACTGTATTTCTCCCCAAGTCACTTTTAATTCCTTTTACGGATAATGGGTTGCTTGCATAATAATGAATTTAAAGAAAAACAACTGTTATAGTTTGCACAGATGATGCCAAAAGATCCTCATACCATCATCAGATAGAAATCCATGATTAAAATACCATTTTATAAGAATATATGCATGTTTTGCTACGAAGTCAGCCATTCTTGCAATCCTCAATGCCAAATTCGTGTCTCCAGGCATAAACAAAGCAATCTCTATTACAAAAGTTGATCAGTAAGAATTATCACTTGCTTTGATTTCAGAGGAATGGAAACCTTCCTTTATTAAGTATTCTGAGTACCACCATGAAGCAAACTGGGACTGAGGCCAGAGGGCTGAGCCCGCCTGTGCAGAGAACAGTGTGGTGAGCTGCTGACCAAGGAGCGCAATGGAGAGAACGAAGGACACAGGTACGCCTGTGGAGATGACTCCTACGGATGGGGGAATCACAGAGGGCCAAAGCCTGACAGGTGAGTAGAAACTGGCAGATCGGGGAGCAGAGTGGAGCACAGGCCAGAAGTTCATGAGGCTGGCTCTTTTGCCAGAAGCATTTGGGTGATTCAGAGAAGAGTCTGAGGCCCGTGATCGGCGTTCCAGAGTATGGACTGCAGGGCTGGGTGGCTATGTGATCGGGGGCATAGACTTGACTTCTGTGTGCTTTGATGTCTGCCATCTATAAAATGTGAATTAAAACGTGAGGTTTTTCAGTCTTCACACAGTAGGTTATGAAGCTGAATGAATTTGCAGTGCTTGGAAAGAATGCAAGCGGGTGGCAAGCACCATGCCAACGCCCAACCAGTACTCTGAGACTACAACGTGAAGTACCAGGGAGGAAGAGAAGGCAAGGAGGTGACAGATGAGTTTACACAGTACCTTGGGACCCAGGTTTAAGAGAATTAGTGAACCATTCTGCAAAGGATTATTCAGGTTGCAGTTGGAGATTAGGTTTGAAAAGAGAATGCAAGACAGGAAAGAAGAGAACAACTATCACAGGGACTGAGGTAGGAGATGACACTGAGCTGCTCCAGGATGGCCGCAGGGGTTTGCAGAGAACACATGTAAGACTGCCTGTGGTAGGTGGTGGGGCATAAGAGACAAAGAGCCAAAAATGAATGGCTCAACCAATAGGGTAAAGAGGAGCAGCCTGGGGTACAGGCAGAACACCCACCGAGCAGAAAACAGGTTCAGAGCATACAAACCAGAAACCACAGTAGGCGGTCTGATAGTAAACATGCAGCTCAGGTAAGAGATCTCAGCTAATCACAGATTTGGAAATTATTGGGATTTCACCAACTAAAACCATAGGATATGAAATTACTCCAGGACAGAGCAGAGTGAGAAAGGTGGCCACGCCCACTGATGATGCTTTCTCCTACTGTAAGATGACAGGTGTGCTTTAGGGTTCAGAGGTCAGGACATCTTGAAGAGTCTGAGCCCTGGTTCTCAGGCACAGACTGAGCCCTTTGTGCAGCCTTGACGATGTAGCTCTACAGAGAACACATGCAGGTTATGGGAAGCCATTCTTTAAAAATGCCCTCCACATTCTGTTACATTTCTGCCCAGGTAAAGAAGAGATTCATGAGGTGGTAGGGATGCTAACGGGCTTACAGGTTAGTATTAGAGAGCGCAATAAAAATCAAGACTGCTCTAGGAGACTTGGATTCAAATCTAATGATTTGAGTGTATGACTTTGCTATATGACTTTGCGAAGTCAGCCTCTGGAAGACCCATTTCTGGCATACAAAATGGGCAGGAGAAAAATCTATTCATACCTGTAAGGGAGGAGTAGGACTGAGAGGTGAGAACTTTTCACCTTTTACTCTAAACTCTTTTATATTGTTTCAAGTTCTTACAAGTATCTCCTTTTATGATTCAAGAGGCTTATCCCATCTTATCTCATAAAATTTTAGTAATTTAAAAGGTGCTACATACAGGCTGGGTGTGTGGCTCAGTGGTAGAGCACTTGCCTAATATGTGCAAGGCCCTGGGTTTGACACCCAGCAATGCAACACACTCACACACACAAACACACACACACACACACACACACACACACACACACACACACACACACACACGTGTACTATGAGAATATGTAAAAGAATGTGACTCATTTAGTAGACCCCAGTAGAACTACACTTAATTTTTAGCCCCATTATAAAATAAGGTGGCTAGCTGAAATTTTATGATAAAGCACGATGTATAAATACTGCGGTTTGGATCAGGCATGTCCTCCCAGTGCTCATGAGTTTAAGAACTGATCCCCAGTGCCAATGTTCAAGAGGTGGGGCTTTGGGGAAGTGATTGGCTCATGAGGACTCTGACCTCATTGGTGGATTGATCCAGGGATAACTGAATGGGAGGTTGTGGACGCTAGGCAGGTAGGCCTGTGTGGAGGAAGTAGATTACTGGGGACTATGTTTCCCTTGGGAACTATATTTTGTTCCTGGCCCCTCCTCTCTCTATCCCTCCCCTCCCCCACCCTCTCTCTCCATCTTGGCTACCATGAGGTGAGCAGCTTTCCTCCGTATGATGTTCTCACTCATCTCAGTTCCAAGCAATGGAACCAGCCAACCATGGACTGGCACTTCTGAAACCATAAGCCAAAATAAATCTTTCTTCTATGTTGTTTTTCTCAGGTATTTGTCACAGCAATGAAAATTTGGCATACACAATAAATAAGTCACTTACCCTTTCTCGAAGTCTTGAATCATATTGTACTGTCATGTCTTTGCAAAACAGGTTGTGCTTCAAAATCCCATGCATGGTCTGCAAAGCAAAACACAACTGTTTCTTATACAAATGTTAATCACTATGAAACGTCAACACAATACATGACACTTTCATTAATTAAAAAATATAATAAGACCAAAGAACAAGCAATAAATTTCCTGTGTAAATGCTGCCTTTTGGGCTGGGGATGTCCCTAGTGGTATAGAACTTGCTAGCATGCACAGGGTTCCTTCCCTAGCAACGCAAAAACCAACCAACAATAACAAATGGTCCCCCTTCTGTTCTGCTCCTCCTTTTGTCTCTCCATGACTGACTCTGGTATTTTCTGCTAAACTATCTCTTAGTTCACATGTTAGCAAACTTTAGCCCACAAGCCAAATCCAAACTGTCAGCTGCTTTGTAAATAAAGTTTTATTGGAACACAGACACAAGTTCCACATAAGTATTGTCTCTGGCTGCTTTTACACTCCAACAGTAGGGGGTGAACAGTTGTGACAGAGAGCTCAGAGCCCACAAGATCTAAAGTATATACCACGTGGCTCCTTATAGAAAAGGTTGGCTAACCTGTTTCATTTCCTAAATCTCTACTCAAGTGTCTAAACTGCTATTTAACATCCACACTCTCAACTGCAGTGCTATTTTTGGTTCTAGAATTTGAACTTTTGTTTAAAATTTACTGTTTACAGTTCTCTGCTAAGATTCTGGGTCATCGCTCACCTGTGTGTAACATGGGTGTGTTACTCCTGTGGCTGTTTATCTTTTAATTTTGCTCATTTGTGTCCATGTTTCCTTCTTTCAGTTTATCTGGCTAGTTTTAGTAGACATAAAACACTGTATTTGCAAAACTATAGAAATAGTTTAAGTCCACATCTACCTTGCGTTTTCATCCCCTCCCTGTAAGTTAGACATTATCATTACTGTCATATGGATGTTGTATTTCTTTGTATTTATCTATGCTGTGTACCTTTGCCAATTTCTTTGCTCACTGATCTTTTTCTGAAACTCGGACCTTCTAGAATTATTTTCAATATTTTTTTGAAAATGCCTTGAGGGTTTGTTTGTCTGAATGGTCTTCACCTGTTTTCTAGAAAAAGTTTAAAACTCTAGGTTACTCCTTGCCCTCTCTCAGCATACTGAAGAGGCTGTTACTGACATTGACAGACCTGTAGACAGCCTAACTGCTTGACTAGTGAATGATGTTTGTCTTCCTTATTCTTTGGAATCTTGGCTTGGCTACGAGGAATACAGAGGTGGATTTCTTTTGTATTTACCAATTGGGAATGGTTTCACTTTCTGGATCTGAGATCCACTGTCTTTTAATGATTCTGTAAGACCAGCTATGACCTCTTTGAATACTGCCTCATCCTCGCTCTCTGACGTCTCCTCTTGAAAGACATTACTACTTCCCATCATGTTCCTCACGTCTTAAATCAGTCATGTATGTCACCCTTAGGTTTACTGTCTTAACAATCATGTCAGCTGTGTGTAATCGGTAACTCAGTATATTCACTGAGGTTTTTCCTAACTTATTCCCTGCATTAAATTGACTTTATCGATACATAATTTACAACAGTAAAATACACCTATCTTAAGTCTACAGTTCATTTGAGTTTTGACAAATTTATACACCCATCTAAGTGCCAAAAATTAAAATACAGAAGAATTTTTATCACCCCAAAATATATCTTCATACCCATGCCGGTAAATCCTTCTCACCCCTGGCCCAAGCAACCACTGAATTGCTTTATATAACTGTACATCAGTCTTTTACCAGAGTTTCATATAAACAGAATCATGTATTATGTTCTCTTTAGTGCCTGGTTTCCTTTGTTTAGCATGTTTTTGAGAGACTCATCCATGTTGATGCAAGTCTAGTGTTCCACCTTCAGTGCTGAGTTGTATTCCACTGTATGAACACACCACAGTTCATTTGTCCATTTACCTCCTGATAAACACAGAGTCTATTATATGGCTGCTACAAACAAAAGTCCTACTGAACAATGGTACACAAGTCTTTGTGCAGACATCTGCTAGGTAACAATAAGCATATATTAAACTATTTTCCAAAATAGTTGGTTTCTTTTACATTCTCACCTGCAATATGTGACTTTTAGATACTCTACAATCTTTTCACATTTTAGTCATTCAAATATTATGTACAGTGGTATCTCAGTGAGGTTTTAATTTGCATTTATGTGATGATCAAGGATGCCGAGCATCTTTTCATTTGTATCATTTTATTGTCTTTGCATGCATCTTCTTTTATGAAGTTCCTGTTCTAATTAAAATCTTTTGCCCCTTTTAAAGTTTGTCTAATTACTGAGTAGAAAGAATTCATATGCACACAGTGTCATATATATATGTACATTTTCTTCCAATCTGTGGCTTGCCTTTTCATTTTACAAATGGTACTTGCAAAGAACAGACAACTTTTACTCGAATAAAATCCAGTTTATATAATCAATTTCAAATTAGTTTTTGTGTGTGGTGCAAGGTAAGGGTTGACATTCATGTTTGTTGTGTCAGCACCATTATTGAAAAGACTATCCTTATCTAATAAATTACTATAGGACCTTTGTCAAAATCCTTCTGACCAAAAACATAAACCAATAATTGACTATATAAGGGTGGCTCTGTTTTTGGCCTCTCCAATTTTGCTTGAGAAAAAAAAAAAAGTCTTCTTTTTAGTTTTCAAAGTATTTTCAATCTTTATACCTTCAGAATATATTTCTAAAAAATCCTGTACTCACTCCTACCTCCTTTTCCCCATTTTCCTCTCAGGACTCCCAACCAACATGTGTGTTGGATTGTCTGACACTGTTCCATACTTCGCTGAGACTGGTTATCTTCCTATTTTATTCTTTCTTTCTTTCTGCTCCATAGTAAATTCAGAATGTTCTATTGCTAAGTCTTCATGTTCAATGCCCTCTTCTACAGTGCCTACCCTGTTAGTCCATCTTGTGACATTTTTATTTCAGGACATCATATTTTTCATCTCTAGATCAATCTGGTTCTTTTTTTAAATTCTAATTTGCTATATACGACAGCAGAATGCATTACAATTCATATTACACATATACAGTTCAACCTGGTTCCTTTTTAAGATTTTTGGTTTTTATCTTCTATTTCTCTCCTCATTTTTCTTCCTTATTCACTGCTAGGAAGTATTCATTCTGGAGTGACTACTGCGTGCCCTGTGTATTCCACAAAATCCCTGCACGCTGACTGGTGGGGACTCACGTGCTTCCCCACCCTCTGTGAGCTCTAGGAATCGCTCCACTTTTCCCTCCCCAGGAACCAGTCCCTCCTCTGCAGCTGTGTCTTGCTTGTTCTCATGCGGTGTCATTCTACACATATGCAGAAAACAGTCCACCAAAGAGTTTCTTTTTGGTTGAATTTTTAAAAATTTGTTCATTTTAGTTATCCATGACAGAAAAACGTATTTTGACATATTTAAACAGACTGCTATGTATACTTCTAGAGTTCTTTCTCTGTCTAGCTCTTCTACTTCTCTGAACCTCAAATTTTAGTCACCTTAATATGCCCAAATTCCATGATTTCCTTCCTCAAATCACGGGGACCACCGAGCTCTATTTTGTGCCCCCTACTAGAGTCTGGAAATGACTTTGGACAATCCTGGGGCTCAGCTTATTTGTTCCACCTCATCTAGGCATCACAGAGCCACGATGTGCCTGAAGTCCAAGGTCTCACTTACTGGATTTTATTCGAGTAAAAGTTGTCTGTTCTTTGCAAGTACCATTTGTAAAATGAAAAGGCAAACTACAGATTGGAAGAAAATTATAAATAAGTGTATTACATGTATATAATATATACATATATATAAAATAACATATACTTTTTTTAGTTGTAGATGGGCACAATACCTTTATTTATTTATTCATATGCAGTACTGAGGATCAAACTCAGTGCCGCGCATGTGCTAGGCAAGCAGTCTTCCACTGAGCTGCAACCCCAGCCTCGCCGAGATTTTGCACTTATCGTTGAGTTTTCTAGTTGTTTACACAGGGAGGTAAATTCCAATCCTATTATTCCCTCATAGTTAGTCACAAAAGAATCCCTCCATTGAGTTTAACAAGTTGATTTGGTTCTTTTTAATAAAATCTGTGTGTCATTTTTATAGAGATCTGTTCTCTAAAGACATTTACATCACGTCACATATTTCTTTATGGAATCAGAATGTTTTTTTTTACTCTGCTGGCCTTTCTATTATCTGATGTGACTGTGGGTTGATCTCCTGCCTGTCATTTCTCCTGGATTTTTCCTGATACCTTATTTTTATTTTTTGTTAAGCATTTTTTTTCCAAAGCTACTCTAACTTAAATATTCAAAAAACAAAAAACAAAAAACTAAGTTCAACGAGAAGAAAAGGAAAGAGTTCACATAGCGATGAGAGTGGGGAGGAGGTGCTGTCTATGTGATTTAATTCCCTGTGGGCTCTGATGGCAGATCTTTCAAGCTTATACACTTGTTGAGACTTGGGACTTCTAAACCCTCACCCTACACTCACCTGCTTTGCCCGTGTGAGGTCGCTGGAGAAAGCGTGAGTAAACCTCACTTTACTCATAAATCTACCAGCAGCAGCCGCTTGTTTAAATCCAGTCTCTGAAAGAGGTTCATCTATTCCTTGTCCTGTGGTGAAACAAAGCATTCAAAAACATAACTGAGGGATACAGATAAAGCCACATATAAGGGAACAGAAACTGTGCCTATCGCTATTTTAATGAAAGGTTTCCTCGAGCACTTTTCCACATGACTTTTCAGAGAGCCGACAGTACCTACACTGTGAAGTTAAGCTGATTCTATCAAGGCTCAGATTCAAATGTTTTCCAAAGAGTTGTTTGCCTGCTGGGAATAAGGTGATGCTAAGAACATCTCGGTTGTAGCTCTTCCCTCTTTTGTGTTTGCCCATGTCCTCATTAGTTGCATTTTGTAAATGGTGGCTCTGACCCTACATGTGCTGCTATCATTACCATAAGAGTTTTGCCTTCTATATCTCCCATTGTCCAAATGTTCAATATTATAATGATGGTACTTCTTCTTCCCTGCCCCCTTCCCTTTCTTTTTTGTTTAAAAAAAAAAAAAACAAAAAAAAAACTGTAAAACCTACTTCCTTCCTCCAGGAGAAAAAGCAAATCGGACACTGTGAAGGGACTTATTACTACAGAATAATGAAGCAATGTATGCTTGGCATGAGTGGGCTCACAGAATGCAAGGAAATCCCCAAGGGACGAAGCCAAGCCATCAAAGACCCCTGGGCTGAAATGTGAAAAGTGATATGGAAATTTGGAGTTGCTGCAACATCAGCTCAGGCTGGAAGGGTTTCTGGAGGAGGCCTGCTCATGGGACAGCAAGGTGGGAGGACCAAACAGCACTGAAGCAAGGGGTCCTGGAAGGAGGCTACTGTCATCTCAGGCCAATAGTCAAATGCAAATCCTGCTCAGAACAAACCACTCACAACAGAGGATAACAAGCTCTCCACTAATTTTAGAGCAAATAATAGTTCAGCCAAAGATTCAACACATACACAAGAAAATAATCCATAATGAATGAATGAGAGTCATAATAATGAATGAGAGTCAGCAGAAAAAAAGAACAGATTTAGAATCACTAAGAATTCACACACTGAAATCAGCAAAGAAAAGCTATGAAATTAATTATGAATAAGACATAAATGTTATAGGCAGAATATTCCTGGTCATACCAGAAAGATTTCAGATGTGTTGCTCAGAGTAACAGGCATGAATTTATTAGAAGGGATAGGAAAAGGGAGAGAGCGGGTCCTCTCAGGAGAAGGATGGCATGCCTCTCCTACCCTCTGATTATATTGGGGGTCCCAGAGAAGTTTCCAGAAAGACCACCCAGGTCCACCTCTTGACTTTCGACTGACAGACAGCAGGATGACAGCAGACTTTCAAGTTTTCTCTGTACATGGGAACTCTAGGTTGGTTTGTCCTGTGCTGAGCGGTTCTAATTGGAACTTGTTCTTAGAGATGTTATGGTTAGGGGAATTATCCTTACCTTTCAGAGTTCTGGGATGGGTCTGTGGAAGGGTCACAAAATTCCCCCCCTTATAGGATAACTAATGTTTTTATTGGCATTTTAGGCCTGCATTTCTCCTACAGATAACAGGTTGTTATGCCAGGCAGGGCTGCAGGCAAATTGTTTTTTTAAAAAAGAAACCACATGAGAGTCAGCACAGGAGACTCATTTTATAGAATTATTTCCTTAACCTCATGTTTCCACTGCTCACATCTGTCTGTTCCCTACCATAAAGACAGATTCAGAAAGATAAGCAATTAACAGAAAGCATTAAAAACAACCAGATAGCTTTCTAAAAGATAAAATAAATCTTTAATAAGGAAAAACAGAATGCTAAGAAAAGAAAAAAAAAAATCCCTCAGTGGATTGAGCGATGTGGTTGAGGGGAGGTGTAATGAACTCCAAGACAGAGCTGCACATACTACCCAGAATGCAGCACAGATACAAGGAGAAGGAATGTGTATATTCTGGTGATGAACGGGAAAGAATGAGAATTCCCCACATGCATTGTTTAGTTCAGGCTACTGTAACAAAATACCATAGATTAGATGGCTTATAAACAACAAACATTCATGTCTCACAGTGCTGGAGGCTGGAAGTTCACCATTAGGGTGTCAGCATGGCTGGGTTCTGGTGAAGGCCTCTTCCAGGGTACAGAGTGCTGACTTATCCCCTTATGTGCTCAAATGGCAAAAGAAGGTGTAAGAGCTCTTCAGGGCCCCCTTTTTATAATCCTGCCCACAAGGGCTGCACCCTCATGACCTAATCACCTCCAAAGATTCCATCTTTCAGAGATGAAATCTTTGGAGGTAGAAAATGAGAAAATAAACATGTAAAATGGAAAACAGAGAAAATAAACATAAAGAGATAATGGCTGGGGCTGGGGATGTGGTAGCGGTAGCACGCTCACCTGGCATGCGTGCGGCCCAGGGTTCCATCCTCAGCACCACATACAAACAAAGATGTTGTGTCTGCCGAAAACTAAAAAAATAAATATTAAAAATTCTCTCTCACTCTCAAAA